TCTGATTTCGAAGGGGTATAATTTTGGGTATCACAAATGTGCCGATCCTTAAAACATATCTACGATCTGAAGTACCCAAATCGACGTGGCCTATGTGATTAAGTGGAAGGTGAGCTGATTGTCGGAATGTGTCCGAGTCGGCAGACCAACGAAACTGGGAGAAAAGAGACCGACGAGTGCTTCCAAAGAAATCGGAAGAATGCCACCCAACCGATAGCCCTCATCCGCGAGAAGTTTCAACAGGCATCCGGGAGTATTGTTTCAATGAATACCATCTATAAGGAAGCACATCTGCTTCGTTTTCATGGTCGTGCGCTGCTGCCCATAAGCCTTTGATCACAAAGTCCAACCTCGCTGCTCGGTTAATGTGGTGCAAAGCACATCGAAATTGGACAGTAGATCAGTGGAAACGGGTTCTTTGGAGGGACGAATCAAGGTTTACCCTTTACCGTTCGGATGGCAGGGTCTGGGTCTGGCGTCTACCTGGAGAACGTCTCCTGCCAGAATGCATTGTGCCAACAGTCAAGTTCCGGGGGTGGAATTATGGTCGGGGGGTGTTTCTCCTGGTAGGGGGACCCTTGGTCCCCATTCATGGTAAGCTCAACTCCGATGCCTACTGCACTATTTTGGATGACAATGTGCTTCCTACGTTGTGGCAGTTTTACGGGTTGGACCCCTGTTACTTTCAGGACGACAATGCCAGTTGTCATTGTTGGTATGGTGCCAATGGAGTTTATCGAATGGACTGGCCTACCCAGTGTCCAGACCTGAACCCTATCGAGAACCTCTGGAACGAGTTGCATCGCCGAATTCAGGGGTATACTACCCGTGCAAAATCGGTGAAGGAGCTTCTATGTCTTCTTCAAGCCGAGTGAAGAAAATACCACTGTCATACAAGACTTGTGGAAGTGTTGCCCCGGAGGTCCACGCTGTAATTACCTCTCCGGAGGCTCTACCAACTATTGCTTTTGAATAAAGTTATTTTTTCTTTTCTTCACAGGTTTTTAATACTTATTGGTAGTCAGTGTAGAGTATTATTAAAGAAATGAAAAATTTAGAGTTATTTAAATATTACTCATTATTATGCGTCTTTGTTCCTGTTTTTGAAATCAGTTTGTGGATTTTTGAGTCTAGTGAATCACTGCAAGACGAGAAAGCCACGTTATTTCAAGCCGAGACCTGTATCGATTTTAAACAGCTGTACCGAAGAAATGCTTTTCGCACAAACCTATGCGAAAGTGATTTTTTTCATGCTTTTCCACTCGTGATGGGTTTCATTTTTTAAAGAGGCAATAATGAAGTCTTTATATTTAGAATTTAGTTTTTTAAACTGTCTCACGAGACAGATCTATCTGGCTATCTTTTTCATTCATGCTTAATTTGCTATCTTCAGTGTTTGCTGAAAATGAATATTATACACATATTTTCATGCCTAGGATCTTCCAGCTTTAGATAATAAAAACCAAAACATTCTGTCAGTGACTGGAAGTGCTTTTGAATACTGGATACCACTTGCTGGTTGAGATCGTACTGTCCCCTATTTTCATTAAAATTTAAAGCATTTGTACATTTCCTTCTACAGCGTTTGCCACGGTGATATATTTTGAAAAGCAATTATCTTACTCGTTCTGTAAAAGCGTGCTTAAGTTGTCCTTGCATATGTTTAGTTCGGTTAATTCAAGCCCTGTATTTCTCAAAGGAAATGGTGAAGAATACCTTTTATAAAAAACAAGACTTTTATCGAATCATTTCCAAAGGAATTGCTGCAGTATTAGGTTCCAAAAGAGTGCATACGCTGTATTGATAAGATATTACACTCTAAATACACGTGTTTTCGTTTTGTTGTCCAACCCCTGTATGTCAGACTCTTTCTCAGTGCTTTGAGCTTTCTTCAAAATTAATAGCATCTAGAGTTGAATTTCGAGCAATTTAAATATTCTGTGATAGTTATACATTGCTTTAAAAAAGAAATAATTTTCTATTTGCCTTTTTGTTTGGTAAACAATAGTTTTATTCTCTTTGTTTCACTAAAGTCAGTTCGATTTATTTGAATCTTTTAAAACTAAAACGTCCATCTAACTAGCTCTAACTTCTCGTTTAAAAGATTACAATTTTGATAAATTATGGGTGTTTAAATGGTTAATATAGCACTCGGTCATTCTCTGTTTAAAGATTTTTTTATCTACATTTAATGTATACATTTGTTGGCTGAATATCATCTACAAATGATATAGTGTCTTTTTTAAATCCTGTTACAGCTCCTTGTAATCTTGTCTTGTGAAAACAAAGAAAGTGATCTTTAGGAGCGGTTGAAAAGGTATTGTGCTTGGAGCCTCAGCCTCATTTAGTAGGACCCTGCTTATAAATTCTAGTTTTCTTGTCTGATTCTTCTAGATGAAACTGCATTTAAATTTATTAAAAGTAAACGTAATCCTAATTAAATGGTTGGAATGTGATGCTTTGGTTACAGCATAAAACATCGCGGACAAAAAGACCCGGAGAAAACAACGCAAAGCGAAAACGTCGCGGCACAAATCATCGTGGGAGAAAACATCGCAAAGAGAAAACATCGCAGTCCTAAACATCGTGGTACAAAATATCGTGGTCTAAAATAAAGCGGTTCAAAAACTTTGCAGTTTAAAAATATCGAAAACATCGGGTAAAAATAACCTACATTCATACTGACGATAATCGCATACATGCGTTTTTGAAATCCCATACTGTCACATTATGGAACTGACTTAGATCATAACTAACAAATCGACATCCAAAAAACTGATTGCACGCTATACATGAAAATGTTAACAATACTTTAAGAATAAACGGAAACAAAACAATATATAATTTTCGCTAAAACGATATCAGATTGACAAATGCGATAGAAGCTAATTTGATCATTAACTAAGCAATTTTTATGGAGGTAACCTCATGAAGTTATTTATCTTCCTTTTTCTAAGCCTTTTAGACTGCATTTTTCATAAAATATTATCCGTAAAACTTTATAAAAAAATCTGATGTGTACACCACGACTTCCTTGTACGGAGTATTAAATTATACGCATTTTTTCTTACATTTCGTTTAAACTTATTGGATTGAATTAAATCTACTTCGCCGACAGCGCATAAACCACAATAGAATAAAGGCATTCTTTAAAATTCACTCTATTTGTTTACCATAGTGATACTATGGCGCTAGGTTCACTTAACAGTATTATATTTCGTTCATATTATAACTCAGAATGCGCAAAATTTATATCATTTAAAGGATTATCTAATCGTTGCCACATGTTCTATTCAAATACTATAATAAGCTAGAACGATGTATAAAGAAATTAAGCAAACAAAACAAAAAAGAAACATTTTTTTTCACAGACGATTGAGTATTTTCTCATTCAATTAATTCAGTTCTTACTTCGCGACAAAGGCCAAAATACATAAAAACTCAAAATATCTGTATTAAAAATTACGAAGTAAATCTTAAACACTTATTTCCTCGAAAAAATTCCAGAAAGAATTAAGCATGATTTAATTGGCAATAATAAATGAAGGCGTTATCTTTGTTGTTGCGAAGCTTATTCTCTATATATTGGCAACAATCTACTATTCTGCTGTTTCAAATGTAAACAATATTTGCCATTTAATTTAAAACTTAGCCGCACTTAAACAGCTTTTAAAATTGCTGATAATTGTACAAATATTTTTTCCAGATTTGCTAAAGGCATAAAAACCTTAACCGGAAGATAAAACAACATAATTCAATCATTTTGAAAGCAAAAAATATACAATTTACAAACATATAAGAGTAAAGAAACTGAGATCACTGAGCCGGGTAACAGAGTGGATATATATATATATAAATATATCTATATACGTTTGGCGCGGCCGATTGCAACCAAAATACGAGGTGCACATCTACATGTTATAGTAGTCCTATATACAAAATTTCAAAGTTCTAAGGCTACTCGTTTTTAAGTTATGCCAGATACGTACGTACGTACATACGTTCCTACAGACACCACGAAAAATTCTCTTCAGAATTCATTTTAAAGCAGTTTTATAATTTTTTTTTGGAGGAAAAGAGTCTTTTATTCTGTCTTTATGTACAGATACCACCCAAAAACATCGTGAAATTGCATTCGAAAGCGATCAAAATAGATATTTTCATTGAAATATGCTGCCTGAAACTTTTCGCGATTACAATACTTCCTTTTTACTTCGTACAAGGAAGTAAAAAGGTTAATTTATTAATAACCTTTGTTTATAAACTATGTAAATTTAAAATTTTATTAAGTTCTATAAGTTGCATTAGTTTTCTACTCTTTTTCAATTTTTAAGTGCTTAAGTTTCCTTCTTATTTTTAGTTCATTCATAAATATGAAATATAGAAGTAAAGGAATCCCTCTTTCCTCTTTGTGCTCCCAAATCATTATACGAACATGCATTCACAACTTTTAAAATCTGAAAACGCATGTGTTCAGTGTTATCGTCATGCGATGATTTGCAGGTACTTTATTTTTACCACGATATTTTCGACGACGATGTTTTTAAACTGCGAAGTTTTTGAACCGTTTTATTTTCGACCACGATATTTTGTTTTACAATGTTTTAGAACTGCGACGTTTTATCTTCACTTTCTTTTCTCCCAGGATGTTTTCGCCTTGGCGCTTTCTCCGCGACGTTTTCGTCCGCGATGTTTTCGGCAGACACCAATACTTTTATGGTACTTCATATACAAAATATGATATGAACACGATAATTTATATGTGAAATATGATGCTTTTGGATATGATACTGATTTTGGAATCATGCATTACTTTGAAATATATTTCAAATCTGATGCCATGAAATAAACTAATGACTAGTTCTACCGAGTAAGTGTAAAGACATTTTTTCTCTATAAAAAACTTCAATTTTTTTTTGTTTGTTTTTGGAATCACTGAAGTGCCTTAAACTAGAAAATATTAGTTTTACTCATTAATTTTAGATAATCAGCTTTCTTACCAGCAATGACAAGTAAATACATGATGGTTACACAAACACCAAAAATTATTTTTAGGACTCCACTAATTTTAGGATCTCCGGATGATGTGCAGATACAGAATGTTAGAAGTAATAGAAGTATTAGCAAGCAGAAAAATATTGATCCCGTAATGACCAGATACTGTGCAATTACGGGAACTGTATCACAGTAGTCCCAACATGCTGCACCTGGAATGAATATATAAAAGTACATGAATTACTGAATCATATTTACTCTAAAATGTGAAGTAATATATTTGAATCCAAAAGCTTACCCATGCTTATCATTGCCAGAGATGAAACAAGAATTCCTAAAAGAAAGCAAAGCTTTAAATAAGCGAAGTTTATAAGTTTCAGGCAGCAAAACTAAACCTTCGTAGCTAATATTTTCTTAAAATATCATACTTCATAGAAATCATATAATAGTTAAAGACATTGGATATACGTATAATAGTAAGTTTTTAATATAATTATTTTGTAAATACTCTCAGAGATAAATAAAAAATTTAAACAAAGAAAGGCTTAGATACCCGCAAAAAATATAGCTACGGATCTAGAATGTCCAAGTTTTAGACCACCTGAGCCTTATGGCGCATAACAATTATGTCGAGGTCTGCACCTCCCCCAACAAATATATACTAAGATCCACATGCAGAATTTAATGCTTAATAATAGCTATAACGTAACTCATGCTGCTATAAAATTTAATTTTTTTTAATTTGAAAGGTAATTAAAAAAAAGCGAAGCTGACTGCCATACCCAAGGGCCCGATATCGAATTCCGAAGAAAGCATGGCTGTTTGGAAATGTATAGTAACTGTGGGGCACATGGGCACTCAAAGTCCTCTCGAGAGGTTGATGGTAATGAAGGAGGGGTGGGAAACCGTCGGACCCGTTTCCTCGGACTGCCTTCCTTCAAAATGTGGGGCTGAACTGAGCAAAGTCGTACTGTCACCTGTATGGTGTTCAAGGCTCTTGCCAACGACATCCGCAATTTGGCTCCTTGCCTTGGTGAATTTCGTGAGCTTGCTTTGATTTCATACAAGCAAGATTTGTCATAACAACAACCAAAGTAAATGATACAAACTGCAAAGCTTTTGAACAACATTGTAGGGCATTTCAATATTGTCAACTACAGAATATTCATAACATTTTTGGCTTTCTGAAACATTTTTTCCTGTTATTTTTACTTGCTACTGTTCCCTGGCAATTCATCCTGACACTTTAAAGCCTTGACAGCATTAGCACACAATTTTTCATCATCTGACACCGTATGAAAGCGGGTTCATTCATGGACTTCGTGGGGTTAGTTGGTCACATCGTCGTATAGTGTATTAAGTGGGCATGATATTAGCACACTTTCAAGGTGCGTGCATCGGTGGGGCGAATAGAGCATCTTTATACACGTCCAGGTCACCCAAGACTAACGAAAGCAAGGTGGTTACCACATTGAGATTATTTCCAGCCTTCCCAATATCTCTTCAGATACTTTTACGGTTGCATAAACTCGTATCCAAGAGTATTATTCTCCGTCGTATAAGCGTATTTGGGCTTCGTGCTGGACGTCTAAGGACGATGTGTTTCTCTCAATCTACAAGTGCACGTAACCCTCGCACTAATCTCGAACCTAAATTTCTGAAGAGAAATGTATTGTCTTCGGTGACAAATGCCGTTTCAGTCCTGGCACAGATGATGATCGACAATACAAATTACGATGTGAGGGTGAAGAACTTCAAGACGCCGTCTAATTCAACGCAGCATAGGGACCTCACCTGGTGTTATGAGTAGGACGTCATATTATTATTCTCAGTCTATTTCAGGATTATTAGTGGTTAATCTAACTGGTCAACTGATATGCAGACGATGTGGTTAGGTCTGTCATAATCCTTTTCGTGTTTGCCATCCAGGGTTGAATGTTTCAGATGATGGATGTGTTGAATTAGATTATCACCCATTTCATTGTAGCTATCTCCAATCGAGTGTATATATAGAACCACATAGGAAAACAGATACGTCACCTTCCCCAGCCTCCAAGAGGTGTTATCTGGCCTAGTGAGTTGAAGAAGGATGGAGGGAAGTACGTATTTCATTGGCACCCTTTATGAAAGTATGCGGTTTCGAGTGACAACTGTTGTATTCGTAGCAGGTGTTGGAGCTTCATAAGGTATTAAAGTCAGCACCCTGGAATCCATATAATGAGCAATGTATCAATTCCGTTGGGTGACTGTGCATAATTTTGCTATGCATATAAATTAAAATTTGTTAGATTATTTCTAAGCATTACTTTTGCATTACTTTTGATGGTGAGTAGTTTGATAGATATAGTGGTGACTGTCGAGAGTGGGAAAACTTGTCCAAAATGACTCAGCCAGGTACCAGTGCTAAGAGAAGTAAAACATACCATTATCACAATGAGTGGGAAGATGATTTCTTTTTTGTTATGGTGAAGAAGAAATGTGTTTGTCTCATATGTAACTCAAGTGTGACTAAAACCATGCACTTAGAATACGCTACAGACTTTCCAATCGGCAGTGAACTTCAAAAAGTTAAAGTGCATGAATTAAAGTCGAATTTACATTTACAGCAATCGTTATTTACAAGACCAGGCACCAAAGCTAAAGCAGTAACATTGGCGTCGTTAAAAAATTACGAAGTTTGATAAAGCGAAAAAAAAAAAAACATTCGAAGATGAAGAATTGGATAAAGAAGCTTTCTGTTAAAGCGGGAGAAAGGTGCTTTTCCACGATTTTAAAAACAAATCTGAAATAATATCGTCATTAAATAATATTTCTTTGTCGCGTAACACTGTGATGCGACGGACTGAAGCCATGAATAATAATTTGGAGGATTTATTAAATGACGATTAAAAAGCTTGTAAATTCCTATCACTTCAATTTGATGAATCCACGGATATTAGTGACATTGCACAGTTATGCATTTTTGTGAGAATGGTTTTCGAAGACATGACTTCAAAAGAAGAGTTTTTAACTATAATCCCATTGAAAGGACAAACGAGAGGCCAAGATATCTACAATTCATTTAAAAACTTTATTGATAAGACAGGATTTCCAATATAGTATTAATTGGTCTCTACTACAACAGATGGAGCTCCAGCAATGGTCGGGAATCGAATTGGTTTTATTGCCCTTGTGCAATAATTATGAGGAAATTCCCAGTTTTCCCAGCTATCATTGCATTATCCATCAACAGGTATTGTGTTCAAAAATACTAAAGTGTAATGATATAATGCAAATTGCTTTTAAAATCGTGAATTCAATTCATTCAAGAAGTCTTCAGAGACGACAATTTAGGGCGCTTTTGGAAGAAACTGAATCAGAGTACGAAGATCTCTTATTACACACAGACCTCAGGTGGCTAAGCCGTGGAGCTTTTTTAAAAAGATTTCGTATTCTGTTACCAGAAATAAAAAATTTTCCACAAATGAAAGGAGAGCGCATTACTGAATTGGAAGATGAGAAATGGCTCATGAAACTAGCTTTACTCTGCGATATCACTGCAAAACTTAACGACTTAAACCTAAATCTACAAGGAAAGAATAAATGTTTAACAGACATGATGAGTGCGATTAAAACTTTCAAAGAAACGGTAAAAAGGTATGCGTCTCATTAAGAAAACATAACTTGAGAAACTTCAAAAACATGAGGAAGAGTGCATCCATAATCCAAACCGAGAAATCGAAGATTTCGCCGAACACTTAGATGTTTTGTTTGAAGAATTTGAAAGAAGATTCGCTGACTTAATTAGGTTGGAAGAAATACTCAATCTTATGATATTTCAATTTAATGACAGTATGGCAACATTGATGGAGTATCTAAAAAATGGGACATTTAATAGGTATCATATCAGTCGCGGTCGAGGAAGAAATTATTAAATTAAGATGAGATATATTTCTTAAATCTAGAACATCTAGCGATACTGATTTTGGGAAATTAATTTTTGGGGAAACGTTTCCAAATATTTACAAATTGATTTTGTATTTGAAATCATACTTTGGATCGACTTATCTTTGCGAATCTGCTTTTCAACCATGATCGCCATAAAAACCAAACATCGGTCGCGTTTAACAGATGAACATTTAATTTCGTGTTTACGCATTGCAATAAGCTTGTACCAGCCACAATATGATGAACTTGTCGCAGATATACAGTGCCAAATTTCAACTAAACGAAGTGAATAGAATGGTCAATTTTTGATATATGAATACTTTGATTATTTTCGTCAGTAAATTTTTATTTTGTAAATATTAAGTTTTTTTAGAAAAATTCGATAATTTACCATTTTTTTCTTGTTACCGAAAATAAATATATAAGCATCTACGTTACGTTAATTTAGCTTTGCCATTGGTGGACCGCCTTCGATTTTTTAAATGTGGAGTAGACCACGGATCCCAAAAGTTTGGCCACCCCTGGTATATAGGTAGTTCGTGAAAAACAATGAAACTGTTATTTTTTTCACTGGCACTAGAATAACACTTACCATCATATGGTAGCTCAATTCTGTACAACTTCTGAATATCTAGATTTCCGATATGTTTTTGTTTAATCAAAATAATTTAAATATTCATGCGTTTTTTTTTTTTTTTTTTTTTTTTTTTTACTTAGAGTGCGTTATTTTACTCTTTATTTTAGTAAATAAATTTGAAATATGATTTGAGTAAACGCTGCAAAAAATTTTTTTGAGATAAATTCAGAATGATGTTTCAGGATAATAATAATTCAAAATGATAATGTTTTTCTCTCTTAGTAATGTTTTATTAGTTGTGCTTCGCTTCTTTGTGCTTCGCTTTCATATATGAGAATTTTCATGACGTTTAAAGATAAATGTTGTGAGAGTGCAAATAAAAAAACGATAAATTCTGTATTTTCTGTATTTGAAATAAACATCTTTTTTACAACTTAGCCCATGTGTAATATCATACAAAACATTTGGTACAATATTAATGAACTATGCCCTCTGTATTAAAAATACAGGAAAGTAAATTTCATGAAAAAAATCCTGATTTCCTATATTTAAGGCAAAAAACTTAAAAATTTCATAATGCAACCAATGCAGACTTACCTACGATGACTATGGTGAACCAAATGAAGCTGGCCATATTAGCCATTTCTTCCTTGGAAGAGTCTTACTGTCGTTTTACATCGTTTGCTAAGGACACTTAAAGTGACCCGTGCGTCTTCTTTAACTAAAATGGAAAAAGGAAAGTAAGGAAAAGCAATAATCTGGGGTTTTGTGTAGGTTTAATACAAAGTTTACTTTAGCATTTTTTTTGAATCGCCCAGTTAGTACTTTATAAGGTATATTCCCTTTCCTTTCTGCATGCCTTCGTGGTGTAACGGACCACCAGCGGCCGAGCGGTAAAACCGCTGAACACTGGTAGTTCGGTCCGAGGTTCGAATCCCGCGAACGGGCTGGCTGCATGGGTGTTTTCGTGGTTTTCACCATGTGTAACGTGTATACGAGCCAGTTTCCCTTAGAAAGTCTTCCACGAAGGCATCCCTCCTCTTAGGCAGATAGCCCTAGTGTGCTTTGCCGTATTCTCAATACACCATACACGGTGGTGTAACGGTAGTACACTCGATCTCAAGAGTTCTAGAACGAGGGCATTGCGCATTTTTCCGGTCTTCCTGCTTCAAAAAATCTAATGACATCTACAGTGGCGACCGAACTAAAAAGATAGTGAATGATGATTCTTCATCGCCAGGATTTGGTGACTGGGTCCCTTAGTCCCTAATCGCCATTTAAAAGGGGAAGTATATAAAATATTTTCTGCCTTCTTTCTGTATGCCTTCGTGATGTAACGATAGCACACGCGGCGAGTATTTGAGATGTCAAGGTTCGAGTTCCGGTGAGCGCATTGCACATTTTTCGTGTACTCCTGCTTCAAAAAATCCTAAAGACTGTACAACTTGAACTCAACTGTGTCGACACAGAAACTTCTTTTTCGGAAATTTCGTGAATATTTCATATTTTGTTTGCTCAGGAATAAATTTTTAAATCGAAGATTCACTAAATTACAGAAGTACAGTCATAAATAAATTTTTTTTTGTTTTATTTTGTATTCATTTTGAACTTTGGTTTGAAATAAATTACCCAGATGACAGTAAAATAAAAACTTTCATTGTCCTGCTTTGAAGGCAGGTAATGTTTCTTATAAGTTTTCTTAAACTGGAGCATACGAAAATGTAGCTTAGTAAAAAGTTTTCAAACGGGATGTTATGCCCAGTATTTTATTTCAGACAAAATGAAATGAGTGCAAAATAAAATTATAATTATAAGAATAATTATAAGAAATTCTAATTATAAGAATGGATTATAACATAAACGATAAATAGATTACACTTGACGCTTAGTTACTTTTCTCGGAATATCTCTGTTTTGTTCTCCGTAGAAGCTCACACTTTGTACTCACACCATCAACTACATTTATTACTGTACCATAACCTTAAATTTATGATGAGATCAATTAAATTATCTGCCATTGACTCGGATTTGATTACATTATAAGGCGTTTCTTTGCATAGTTCTTACAAGGATGGTCTCCCAATCATGAGCGCTCATTTTGTTCCAAGCATATATAAATCTGTTCATCTAAAAAAACCTTAATACTGAAAATCTTATTCCACAGATAGGCAGTTAAAAATTGCATAAAATAGCGAGATTTTGTGACACAATGCTATTTGACAAGTTACCAAATTTTCAAATTGAAGTTTAGAAAATTCGTCAAGTCACTAAGCTAACCAATTCAGATAATGAAAATATACGATGATAAATGAAGAAATAAAACCCGAAATACAGTATTTTAGCTGTCACTACACAATAACATAAACACTGACGAATATTGATGAAATTCAATTATTAAAATTTATCACAGAAGACTAAAATGTTCTGGTTGATTTGGTAGAATATGGCAAAGCACATTAGAGCTCTCTGCCTGAAGGAAGGCCTTTGGAGGATTTTCTAAGAACAGCTGGCTCGAATACACATCACACATGGGGAAAACGACGAAAGGGCCCAAGCAGCCAGTCCGTTCACCTGTAATCGAACCCAGATCGGAAACATCATTCAGCAGTTTTACCGCTCGGCTGCTGGTGGGCCATGAACTTCTAGAAATTATGTATTTTACTGTATAAAAATGTCGCATATTGTACTGATTTTAGCATGATACAAACAGTACAGACTTTACATGATATAATAAACACGCTGACTACGGACTGAATACATAGCGAGGATGACCGACTTTTATATAAGTATATATAGAGAGAACTTTCGTATACTTTACTTATATATATATATATATATATATATATATATACGATCGACTTTTTTCCTTGAAAATGTGTCGCGATTTATAAGATCTAAACCGTTTTGCTATCATACAAAGTGTCTAAATCAGAGTGCGACCTGGCGACGTCTCGCGCAGGCGGGAAAATGAACGCAGCAAGGGAAAAGGTAAACAGCCCTTTTATTTATCACAACTATTTTAACAGAATGGCAAGGACTTCGTCCTCACAAAAACACCGGCTGCGGTGGGAATTTAAGGTACTTGCGGTGGGAATTTAAGGTAAATTTAGCAATAAATTCGAAAGATGAGAAGTAGTGTTAGACTTCACAATTTAATTTAACCAAGCAGAATGACTCAGCAACCTACGCCAGCGATAGACTAACTAAATGGCCAAAATGCGTAGTCGCTACTAAATTGACAGCTGGAGGACTATGCCCTGTCTAAACTATTCATTTTACCCGTTTAAATACTCTCTCTCAATCACTTAATTTGCATCCTAGCGAGGAAATGTGAGGGAAGGTAGAGAATTCAGAAATGATACCAAAATTAAAATAACTGGTTAGTAAACAAAGGGAAACCCTACAGATTTACCTACTAAAGTCTTGACATTTAACAGTTTCAAACTTGTATCTTATGCTCTAAGAAGTTACAATGGGGGAAAGTGTATTATACGATATTTTGTTAATAACATTTATTAATGGAAAGTAACCGGAGAAAAAATAATACATGCAATTTTATTTTTTAACTTATCAATAGTGAAAAATCTGCGCCTGCGTATCTCCTACCAAGCTTTCATAATTGGTATGTATCCAGGCAAAGATAATGAATCTTCAGTACGGGAATCAATAAGTTAGGAACGATGTTTAGTCGTTGTGAACTTTAAATATGAAAAAGCTTATTGACATAAGTACGCACACGTTTCTTACCTGCAGCTGATCATGGCAATCTAGAGAACTGTCCAATCAAGTGAAACTGAAATAAAAACATCGTTTAAGGAAAGGGTTGTAATAATACGGCACTTGAATGACACTGCATTTACAATACCATTTCACAGGCAGTTAAAAGTTTAAGTGCTTAATTTTTCAAAAATTAAATCTTCAGTGAAAATCTTTATTTTTCAATATCTTCTAGTGAAATGAGGAATTCTGAAAATTTAACAAATGAAAGAAGTTTTTTTCTACTCTACAGAATGTTCAAAACGTTGAACATAAAAACGAAATAAAATTTTATATTGGAGATAAAGAACTAAGCATTTCAGTAAGTAGACCTGCTAATGGCTAAGAAAATGCACTTTCCTTAAAAAATACGCTAAATATTGGAGACATTTTTCTAAAAATAGTTACCACTTTAATGTCCATCTTCAAGACAAAGGGGCTTAGCTAGAACATGTAAGAAAATACAGACATTTGGAGGGGAGGACGGCAAGTTCCAGAGTAGAAAGTGAAGTGTCACTACAGCGAAAAATTTATAAAGGTTTATGCTTAAACTGCATTAAAGTTTTAAAAATTTAAATTTAATTCATTTAGAGGTTTTGGAAATGGAAATTGTCAATAGGTTTTGTATCCGTTTTTTTTTAATGTAAAATGTCAACAGCTGTTAATCACTTTTATGTTCGTATGGAATCATAACAAGTGGCTGATAGATTATTCGAATTTTGATATAAATATACAACCCATGGTTTTCTCTTCAGCTGTGATTTCTGTTAATTATGAAATCTTTCCTTAGGAAATTAATACAAACAAAGGTTAAATTTTCCCGTTTATTAAATATGTTCAAAAACTGAAACCCTTTGAATATGTTCAAAAAGCTAATAAAAATAAGTCAGCCAAAATATGAGAATGTTGTAACTCACTAATATAGCGGTTTTGTCGCTCTGCTTGCAGATCTTAATTCTCCGCGGAATTCTCTTTCACCCATTAGCCTTCTTTTGAAAATCGTAAAATTACATTTTAAAGGAAAAGCACTTGGAGTAAAGGAATAAATATCATATCCCAGATAACCAAACTAAAGTGCAATTTCCAAAAACACATTGCTTTATGCTTAGGTTTATCGCAAATATCAAGTTTTTAAAGTAATCAATAGATTACATAATATCCCTCAAGTCTTCCTTCTAAAAATATTACATCGTAGCAGGGTTTCTTAAACTTTTTTCAGTCGCGACCCCTTTTTGTCACTGAGATTTTTTCGCGACCACCCGGACCCCTTAATCTTCACAAAACTTTTGGGGAACCCCGTAAATATTAAGCAAATCCGACACACGCGTGAGTGAAACTGTCAATTTTTTCACTCTAATTTCTAATTTTAAGACATAGAACAATGTGAAAATTTTAAATAAGTAACAGACGAAATGACAGCAAGGAAAATGAACATTTATATTATAAAAAGAATGCGTCGAAACGTTTTCGTTTTTTTCTTTGTCTGTATTGCTTATCTTTATCTATTTTCAGATACATTGTCTAAAAATATTTGGTAATTGTAAAATTATTATAATAAGTTAAGGAAACATTAAAAAGTTTTGGCTAAAAGTTTTGGCGAACCCCTGCTGCAGGTCCCGCGACTCCTTCGTGGGTCGCGACCCGCAGTTTCAGAAACCTTGCTTTATAGGATGATTGAAAATTTTTAGACTAATTCTATTATTCAGAATTAGATGATTTTATGAGAATTATATTCTTTTCTTTATCAAATTTGAATTCCTTACACTAAACTGCCCATTTCACGCCTTTTACGAAAGGAAAGATTCAGAACTATCAGATAGAATGTTTTGTGATATTCTCTTTAGCATAAACTGCACAACTTTTTCCACTTTCTTAACCAAAGAGAAAATTTTTTAATACAGCTGCCTTTTCAATGCTCAGAGCGCTTAGAAATCATGTATCAATAAGTATGTAGAGCTATTAGGTATTTATATGGAACATGGAACTCGAGAAAGCAGCTATGCTAAAGTCCGATGCAGGTCAGAATGTGATCCGGTGAAGCTGGGTGGAAAGAAATGTTAAAATGCCTCATGGCCTTCATCTATTTAATATTTTTCATGAGTTTTAAGCTTCCTGCAGTAGTCATAGACTCAGAAGGGGTAAGGATGTTAGAAACAAGCCTCACTACTCCGCCGGATTTTAAGTGAAATGATCGATGAACTCTTTCCCCAGACTTTTCTTTCCCCAGCGCCAGTGTTCGTGGTGAGGAACTCCTCAGTGTTGAATCCGATTCCTTTACTTTTATAATTGTTTAGTTGTTATTTAAATGCTATGTGATCGTTAATGAGTTTCTCAGTAATTTATTTAAATGATTCTACGGCTGTTAAAACATTTTGATTCAGAAGTTTTGTCATCCACATTATAATATTGAAATCAATTAAAATTTTTATATTTAACCAACTATTTTTTTAATTTAGATTGTTTTTTAAATTTAGGTTTTTAGAATAAATATTTAATGATTTCTTCTATTTCGTTCAAATTACTCGAACTTTCAAAAGTGAAAAATATTTATGCGGAAGAGCAAAATTCATTTGTTCACGGTAATATTTTGTTAATAAGAGCTGAATCAACAGCTCGAAATGGTACTTGGCTCCATGAATTTGAGACGTTTGTATGAGACTTTTATATTCCAACTTTTATGTAACAGAATTGTAATGCAAATATTCTTAAGACAGAATGTTTGATTTGAAAGGGGGAAAATACCCAGAATGTGCATAATATAGTGATTGATGAATAAAAATAATATGTATTTTCTTTCCATAAGAAAATCAATTCATAGTTTCACTTGAAATATACTTTTCTGATGAAATATGAAAAATAAATTACAATAGATTTCGTTTTTCACATAATATTCGTTATTGTCCTTATTTCTTAGAAGAAATGTAAGCAATTATCTATAAAAATAACGAAATCTGTAATTTAATACTTGGAAAGCGTATTATTACACAGCATTTCGAAGCCTACGCGGTTTCTTAAACGAAAATATGGAGTACGGCTGTCAAATGTAAAGAAATATGTAGCTCATTTCATTAAATTATGATTAGGATGATAGATTTCTAGTTATTCCATCCGAGAAAGAGTTTATATCTTATAAAATTAGCTTTTTCTAGGATTCCTTTTATAATGTTACAAAACGGGGTAAAATATTTCAGTAAAATTGTTGATGTTATTTCTCAGCTGTTTATAAACATATTTACATTCCAACAAGCGCAAATCAAAGAAGTTACAGAACTAAGCAGCAAAAAAAAAAAAAAAAAAAAATGAAGAAACAGCTCTTGAATAACAATATAAGATTTATAAATATAACTACTTACTCACATGCTGTGAAGAAAATGTCTACAGTGCGGAGTTTTAAAGTAAACTTCATTATGGAAGCTTAGCCTGCCACTCAAACAGCTTTCGATACAGGAGCAAAATGAATAGTCTTATCAGTGGCCGATAACAGAGCATATGGCTACATTTCCGATAAAGACATCGAATCTAACTAGTAGCTCGACCCTCAGTGTTGACAAACTACCATTGTTTCTGTGGACAATAAAAGTTAAAATTGTCATTCTCGAAAATACGTGATTTTATAAAGAACTTTCTCAAAAATATGTGATTTTTAGAGGGCAAAATTCTTGAAGCTTAAACGAACAAGTGAAAAATGATTGAGGCTTATCTCTTAAATAAAAAATTGCTCAAGGTAATTAGGGAAAAAATATGATTTTTTTTAAAACAAACTATGGTTTATTTATACCTGTGTATTGCATAAATTTAGCATTCTAATTTTAATGCAAACGTCTCTGATTTCAAAAATTATCATATTAATTTCTTTTAAATCTAAAATGCAAATAAATAAAACAGTTGATAGCAGACCTTCAATACATACGAAAACTATAAAATGGTAGATCTTCGTATAGAGGTTTTCCTGTTCTAAACTAAAAGTGGTTCTATATTTCATTAACATCATACAGTAAAAAAATCTGGAAATTAATTGATAAGGCTAATTGTTCTATTGTGAAAGTTATCTTAACTTCTCGAATTATGTGTAACCGGTAATTCGATCTAGTTCTAGACACTAGATGTTCTTAAATTTTTCCTTTTCCCGCTTTAAGCTCTTCCTCACTCTACAAAATATTAATTGATTGCGAGATGTAATGAGATGAGGTATCTAAAGTTCGAAGTCTAATTGAAGCTCGACAGAACCGTTTAGGGCATGTCTGTCTATATCTTTAAAAGAAATAATTTTACATATCATATTCAATAATATACTGTATTTTCTCGTGTATTCCCCCCTGTTTATACCAATTCGATCGTACAATCGTTACTCAAATAATTTAATTTTCAAAAAACTTGGTTACATTAAGAACATAACAAATTAAAAGTATTCATGGATAAACTACCGGTAACTATCACAATATTATTTACTTTAAAAGAAATCTATATTCCAATAAAAATTCATAGTAATTTTAACATTACAGTACCGAGTAAGATATCTCCATCTCTTCTCTGTACAGCTCTACTTGTGGCCTCACCTACTCTCGGCTTCACCAGTAGTGGCCGAGTGGTTAAGATCTATTGAAACAAAAATTGAAGAAGCTAATAAAACTTCTAAACTTATTTTATCCATTCAATGAAAAAATAGCAAATTATTCCAAGAAATATAATCATCAGAACTGATTTTTAACGAATTTTGTATTTCCCTTAAAAATCCAATTCATATTTCACTTTCCAATTTTCAAAAATATTGGATTAAATGAAGTTCAAGTTACGTAATTTTTATATTCCTGAATTAAATACTTATCTCATAATATCTCATCCGTACTGATATAATCAAATATATTTCCTTAATATTTTATAATGATAATAATCTATTATTAACCTATAATATAAAAATTATTTTATTTTATTTTTAAAAATCTCCCTTTCTTCAGAATGCTTTATTTTGTCCATTAATAATGTATTTATGACCTAAAAACCATATTCATTTTAGCTAACAGAAAGCTAGTTTCTAAGTAATTTAAAATTGCGTACTAAAAACTATTCAAATTTCCATTTTTAAATAATGGTTCAAATAATCACAGTTCACAAAAAGAAGTATCAGGTACTAACTATTTTATGTATACCATTCATTAAAATGTTTAATAAGTAACATTTAAATAACATCGCATTCGTTATAGCCAACATAAAAGCACGGCAGAACAACAGGCCACTCTATCAGTTTAAATTTTAAGACATCTAAATTATTTTATAGAGAATATCATCGGTTCCATAGTATCCCACTGTAACGAGGAAGTGGCCGAAGGCGGTAAAAGAAAGGGACTGTGGGAGGAAAGTTGAGTTGTTTCAGGCCTCAGATTGGGAGCAAGATGTGCATTCCATCTGCTTAATTCCATGGTGCCGACCAATAGCCCAGTAGCAAGGGCTGTAAAAATGTGATAATATCTCCCAACGACTTAAATAAGCTGGTTGTATATTTCGTAGTTTTCCTTATTGGCACTGTAAATACAAAACACGGTTCTCGGTTCTCCTGAAAGGCTACTTATAGGCAAATAGCTCTTGTGTGCGTTCATCATCAAGTTATCGAGTTCAGTACATTTAGTCATGTTAGATCAAAGTTATCCTTCAGAGGCCCATCTGTACATTAATTCAGTTTAAGTGCTAAAACCTTTGACTTTTAAGATTTGTAATCAATGAGCTTAATTTACGCCTACGAGCTTAATTTACACTTTTTTACGTATTTTAGGTGACACTGTGATATAATGTTCAAACTTTTGTAAGAAATCAGCATTTCTTTTTAATTTCTAAACTTCAGAAACTAATTTAATCTTCAATAAATTGTGGTATGAAAACCGAAATTACAGGGATAGTCTTTTTTTTTTTTTTTTTTTTTTTTTTTTTTTTTTTTCTGTTTTAAGAGCTGTTTCATCAAATAAAATTTCTCCTCTTCATAGGCGTAATTAGCCCTGTATTTGAGGGGATGCTCATTTCTTAAAAAGGAAATTTTCGAAATTACGCTTATTTTCTGTGTTATAAAATACCCGTATAATGTTCAAAATTTTGCAAGAAATCGACATTTCTTTTTAATTTCTAAACTTCAGAAATTAATTTAATTTATTAAAATTTTTTAATTTTATGTTTTCAATACGTTGTAACATACAATTAATCTTTTTTTTGCATAAATATTTTCATCAAATATACATTCTAACTAATACCCTAACATTAATATTCTGAAAAAAGGTTATAAGTACTGCATATATAATACTTTTATGATATACCTAGTTCGATTTAAATAATCCTTAAGATCATTTAAAATTTTCACTAGAAGCATTAAAAACTGTGATGTAAATTTGAAAAACCCAGATATCTTAAAACTTCTATTCCCAAGTATTTTAAACTTGTTGTTTCAGTTTGTTGTTGCTACTAATCTTCCTGGCCTGAACCTGTAGTCAGAGCAGATCCACAAATTTTATACTGGTCAACAAATAAACGTTGCATTTATGGTTGTTTTAGGCTTTGTGCTTTAGGTGACATTGTGATATTGCCCAGTTCCATCCAAAAAGACGGGGAAAGGTCCGAAAGTCTCTTCACCCCCGTCTTCCTCTGCAACCAGCCTTTCAAAAGGACTACCGGGGGTGTGTCAAGTGCCTCGGCACGAAAAACTTATAAATACATGCCTTCTCTGAGATTCGAACCCGACCCATAAAAGCAGCTGGTATTCTTACCATTATGCGAACAAAGTGGCATTATTTTAACTGACAATATATTATTAATTTCTGTTATTTTAGAGTGTGCAGAACCTCGTTTTTCCTTTCAGAAACATGCCACAAAATTGCTATGAAGAACTACAAAGTTGAATTTTATCCTTTTGATAATCATCAACGAACTCAGTTCTCATTCCAGTTAAGTACCGTGATGGGCGAAAACGAACACAGCTCGCATTACAAATTTACGACTTACAGATATCGTACATAATCTTGGAAGAAAGAATTCCTTAACTTCCCAACCACTGCTAACTTCTTTTTAAAGATAAATTAAAATAACAATATTAATTGCATATTACGGTAGTACCTCGATTATCCAAGGTTAGTAGGCTCGCTATCACTTTGCTAAATGAAAACTTAGTTAATACAGATTAATTTAAAACCGTGCTAATTTTTTTTAATCTCTTCTCTGAAACTTTTTATTCGAAATTCCGAAAATAAGGGTGTAAAGTTGCGCACTTCCAACCTGCACGCAACAAAGTGGTGACTGCTGAAAACTGGAAATTAGACAGAGTCTTGAGAAGGGTTTATGTCCCTTTTTATTCAACTTTAGAAGTTACAAATGCGTGCTCTTGACGCTCACAAACTACGCCGACCCGGCGGTAAAATAAAAATAAGAAACTGAAAAGAGATAATAACAAGTGAGAGCCTCGTAGTTACGAGGCTCTCTAAACGTAACTGACCTCACCGCGTTGTACAATACCGCTGATAATTCAGCAAACTCTGAATATTACGTTGAAAGATTAACGATTTGCCGAGGCAAGCACACAGGCCGAAACGCGTGGTTCTTCAATTTCTAACTAGCCACCTCCACACTCGTGAAGCAAAGAAAGCACACTTCGAACTCGTTTCCTTTCTATTTAACTCAGAATACTTCCGCTGATAAATTTGAATCCTTGCGCGTTCTACTAAAATTTACATACTCTGGCATTGGAAGTTCCAGGGGAAAGTAAGGCTTGACAGGAAAGATAGTTTAAACTTAAAATAAATGTTAGTTAAAATAAATATAAACCCTACAAGGGCACCATTATAATATTTTTACTAAAATCCTTTATTACTAGATAACATTTGTTTCCTTAAGTTAAAAAAATCTGATGTGGAACCACATGATTTTCTTGTACGGTATATTAAATTATGCACATTTTTGCTGCACTTCATTTAAACTTATTTCCTCGAATTATTCTAGCTGAATTAACCGATCTTTCAAGGCAAGTTGAAAATGACATCGAAAACTGCGAATTTTTGAAATTAAATATACTAGTCAATTTTTATGTTATGGAGTCAAACTTCTTATAATTTTATCATAACGAGAATAACTTTCCCAAACGTAGGAAACGGGAGATCGCATTTAAAGTTAGATTTTGAAATTTGTCAAAAATGAACAATTTTTTTTTTTTTTTTTCTATTTCACATTGAGAATTTTCGTCATTTGAAATACTTCTGTATTTGAAAGTATATGACTACGATCAACAATTACGAAATAAAGGCTATGTAAAGACTGTTAAGTTAAGTAAAAGGATGGATACATACAGCGTGGTCATAAAAAAAACATCCACGATATATAAAACCCTAGGGCCTACCCACCCAACCAACCGAAATTAAATTTCAGATATTGTTATTTGAAGGTATGCGCTCAAGATTGTGATGATT